GGAAAGCAGCAATATCTGACATTCGGGAGCAGATAATGTTTTACAGTGGTGTGAGGTGCAGTTATATTTTTCTCCAAGTGGGTAAGGACAGGTGCAGAGACTTGCAGACAGGGAGCAAACCTGTCAGATCAGGGAAGTGAATTTGTGGGCTAAGTTGTGGTCCTCTGCCCTTGCCAGGGCTGATTCCGGAATTCCCAGGCTGATTATCAGTATGATTTACACATGTTCCATGGGATGCCCTATCTGTGGAAAAATGTTCTGTAGAGTTCTGTACTGGAGGAGTTTCATGCTAAAAATGATTGCATTGCTGGCTCTGGCTCATGGCAAAGAAGCAATAGGATTGGGTAGCTGCACCAGGACTAAGAAGTTTACAAGACAGTGAAACATTTGCTTCTCCCAGGATGAGTTTTCCCCACCCTTCTTGAGTGTGGCCAACTTGGGGTCCTCTCAAAGACAAGGATTCATTTCAGCTGCACTCTGCTCCCCCTCTAGCAGTGATTGTCCCTTTCTTATCCTAGTTTGCTCTCCTCCATCACTCACAACACATGTGCCTCCCCTGCACACGCAGCATGCAGTGCAAAATTCTGGTCATGCTGAGTGGGTAGAAGTGGGTGAGTTGCTGTTGTGCTGGAACAGATGGTGTCTGCAATGCAGCCACCAGTTATGTGCATGTGTTGTAGGAGGTTGCTAAAGGAAAAGGGGAAAATTTATATGTTTTGTTGAAAAGGTTGGTTATTTTTCTCTTATTTATTGGGATTGGAACGATTAGAAAGCTGAGGTTAGTTTGTTGGGTTTTTTCAGTTGCCAGTGGTTGTCAGTTGTTTGGTTTATTTAGATGATGTGCATTACCTTGGCACATTGCACCTAGGTAACCCAATAAGGATGGGTAAGAGGAGAAGAATTTAACCCATCACTTATTGCAAGCAAGACCCCTCTTCAGATCACCTGCCACTCACACCTTGCCTGCCCAGCCTGGTACCACAGCCTGCAAGCTGGCCCATTTCTACCTCTCCCCCAGAGTGAAAAGCCCATAGCCACCCACCAGGTTTCTTCTCCTGTGGGTCCCTGGAGTCTCTCAGTCTCCTGCCTCTTACCAGAAATTCCCTGGGCCTAGGGAATTTCCTCAGGCAGCTGCAGCACTGAGAAGGTCCTCACCAGCCCCTGGCAGAGTAACCACTTGGTCCCCTCTCCAGGTGCTGACATGCTGTGCCCCTGTCCTTGCAGACACCCCCCTCCATATGGAGGTGTTTTAAAAAAAAGGCACAAAGGAGCCATTAAGGGCAATGGCTGGCAAGTCACCCCAAAGGCATTAGTGACTGGTAGTGGGCCACTCCTGGCCACTGGATTTGTAGCCCTGTGTTGGGTTTTGTGGCAGTTTGGATACATCTCATGAGATCCCAGTTGACTCACCTGTGCTGTTGGTTTTAGTTGACAAAGAGCATCAAAGGTTGGTTGGTTGGATGTGGGTTTAAAAAGTTTTTATGTAGTCATAACGACTATCGTGATAAAAATGCTTTTTCTTTTAGTGTTTCATTTGTGGTGGATATGGGTTTTTAGCTAAAGAGATTTTAATCTACATAGAATCATAAAACAGTTTTTGTTGGAAGGGACCTTAAAGATTATTTGGTTCCAACCCCCATGCCATGGGGGATGATCTGGCAAAACCTGGATGAGGAGATAGAGTATTTGTGCTCAGCAGCTTGCAAAAAAAAATTATTTTTTTTATGAAACAAATTGCAGATGTCCCTTGAAGACTTATGTTACCAACAGTAGGCACTGAATTCCCTTGTTAACTTGTGCATCAAAGAAGTCTGACTTCTTGGGAATTGCAGCACAAGCTTTACTGACTTCTCAGTAATATTGTACTGCGAGCTCCTATTTAATAAAATTAGAAGATAATTCATGTATGTTGTATGGATCACAGCTTAATTTTTCATGCTGAGTGGTGTAAGGTATTTATCAACTGGTTTACTAGATTAGATCTCTGCCTGCACCTCCCCGCACTCAGCTACGTGTGGATGGAGGCTGACAACTCTGCCTTTATAAAAGCTTTCCTTGCTCAACCCCATGACTAATGCACATAATTATTTTTAAAACAGCTTTGGTTGCCACTGCAGTACACTTTCATGTGCACACAGAAATGTGTATTTATGTTCATCTGGAGTTTGTGAACCCCAGGGTTCCGTGTAAACCTTACTCTGCCATTTAAAGAAATACTTTGCAGCTCTAGTGTCACAGTGGGGAGCCGGCTCTTGTGATCTGGACAGTGGGACATACAAAGCAGTGACTGTAAAAATATATGAATAAACACTTAAAGATATCTAATTTCATGGCACATTATTAAACTCCTGTATTACCGAAGTCCCCTGAGGTTGTTCTGTTTCCCTCCGTGACCAATTATTTCTCCTTTCAAAATGTAGCTGGATGTGGAAGAAAAAAAAAGCAAAACAAACATATCAAAACAAGAACAATAGGGAGGGGGATCACGAAACAAAACAAAGAAACCTCAAGCCTCTCTCAGGTTTTATATCCTTTTATGGCAATGAGTTAAAAACTAGATTGATTTGATGTGGTCTTTTTTAATGAGTTGGTGATGGTGGTTGCTTGTAACTTGCTTGCTTACTACATGGTCACATCTAATTAGATAATTTGTTCCAGTGCTTTTCTAGGAATTGCAATCATTGGACATTTCAGTAATTTTGTTAAGATGACCATCTTGCTCTTCTCTTTTCCCGTTATCCAGTGCTCCTCTTTCTCCAAGTGCTCAAAAAAAATTTTTGGTGGTTCTGACAAATTCACCCTGTGTGCCTTTCCTCACATCTAGCCAGTAAAACAAGCTTTTAGGCATTTTCTACCTTACCAGACTACTCTATGGCCTGCTCTTTTCGGGTAGCTCTTTTACCCTTTTCCTAGGTGTTATACTTCCGCCTATCCATGTCCTAGAGGTGTCCTTTTCAATGAATTCGTGCAGAGTAACAGGAATTGTTTTAATCCGCAGGGCTAGCTGCTTCCTTTCCCACTGAGAAGTGATCATTATTGTCTTGCTAATTTATTAATTTACATACTTTCCTGATAATATTGCTGTTCTCTGGGCCTGTTCCACATCTTGAGTCTTTGATTTTACCCTTATAAATTCATGCTCTTCTGTCATGTTTCTGCTGAATAACTTACCTTATGTCCTATTTTTCTTATTCTTCTCAAGTTTCAGGCTGTTTCATAGCTCCTAGCAGAGCCAAGTTGCTCTCCTGCTATGCTTCCTCCGCACTGGCAGAGCATGTGTGTGTGTGCTTTTAATACAGTTTCTTCAGAGAGCTACCCATCCTCCAAAACTCCCTCTTCCCTTTACTTTGCAGAAAATCATTGCCATCGTATCCCAACAAGCTCTTGAATCTCTCGCCTGTTTCATAGCTTTGAGTGGGAAAGAAAAAGGCTACCAGAGTTTTCAGCTAATGCCTTAAAAAGATTTAAAAAAAAATAAAAATAAATAAATTAAAACTATTTATCCATGCTGCTTGTTAGATGACCTGTAGCAGAACTCTCATGTGTCTCATGCTGCTTCTTTCATTTTCATTACCAAGTAGAGACTTCTAAGTTTATCCTGTGCCCTGTCAGAATAAAACCAGAATATATATATATTAAAAAAATATTCATTGACACACAAAAATATTATTTTAATCTTGCTGGCCCTTCCTAAACAGCTATGAATTTGTTTCATAATAGTCTAGTCACATGTCACCTATCAAGCTTTTGGTATTCTAGTTGCTTTGCAATCAATTACTTCAGTTCCTTTACAGCTGGTCTGTTTTTTAAAGGAAAGTTTTCCTCAGAGTGTTTTTATTTTTAAAATAAATTAAAAAATAAAAGCACTAAGTTTTGCTAAAAACCTTTTTATTTTCATGTTGATTCATTTAATGGTCAAATTAATCACAGAAAAGTTGGTGGCTTTCTTTGCATTCTTAGTGCACATAAGGTATGGTGCACACAAGGTATAGAGCATAGAGGGAGCCTGATACAAAGGGATTGGAGAAGCCTCTGTGTGTGGCGGTGAGACAGGGAAAGCACAGTGGTGTCAGGGTAAGCAGATAGCTATGGTAAATAGAGGGGACAGGTCATCCTCCCTGAATAGCCCTAAGCTCTGTTCATATTTAAAAACAAAGAAACAAAAAACAAAACAAGAAAACAAAACAAAAAAAAACCCACACACACACCAAGAGCTCTAACTTGGTTCACTCATCTAGCCCTTGGAACAAACACAGAGTAAATGGCTTGACATGTCCTTCCCACCACCTGAGACTTTCAGCAGTCCTGAGCCCTAAAGCTGCTACAGCATTAGCTCAGTGGGAGACTCCTGAGGAGGCTCTCGTCCTTCCTGGAGCATGTCTGCTGCTGCTTGGTGAGGACAGAGGAAGAAGCCTAACAGTTGACTGATGTAAGCACTGGCAATGCAGCTGGCAGAGAAGCGTGAGGGAGCTGCTGTGTCTGGTCTTGATCATACCAGAGCATTTAGCTTGTAGCTGTGCCTGCTCTGAAGGCTGACCAGCAGAGATGAGAAGTTAAGCAAGTGGTTCCCCTTCATTTTTGTTATTTAACCTCTTCTGTTTAGCAGCAGCTAAGTAAAAAACCCCAAAAAGTTTCAGAAGAATGTTATTGTGAATTCATAGGTCTGTTTTCTTTTGCTTTGCAGCCCACATCATTGATTAGCTCAAGTAAAATATGTCATTGTGACATTTTATCCCCTTCCTTGAAAATGGATCAAGGTCACTGGCAGGCTGGAGAAGCAGGTTATCTCAGCTGTATCCTGCCTCACCAGGAGCTCCATTGAAATCTCTTGGCACTTTGGGCCAGCTTGGATTTTATATGGGGTTTGTTGTTGGGGGTTCTTTTTGTACATCAGTTTACTACTCATAATGAATCCAAGAACAATAAAGATGAATTTCCGCAGTCACCATCCCTCTCTTTCAAGGAGGCAACATAGTAGTGCATGCAGTGATTTTTTAATGCACCAAATATCTTTTCCCTCTTCTGATGATGAAGCCATGAGCTGTGGCTGATCTGTGTGCTAAAAACAACTTGCTGTCCAATCCACCTGACCTGTAAAACAAGAAAACTACTTTGCTTGCTGTTTTCATAGAACAAGGTGGGATTCTGAAAGCTGACCTAAATGATTTCCATCGACATTTCTGTGGGATAAATTGGGCTTTCACAGTTCTTGTGGAGAGTGCTAGCTATTTACAGGAGTAAATAACTTCTCACTATGAAAAAGAATACATCCAATAGAGATAATGATTTTTAGTCAGATATCATAATGCATCCTGAATTATGTTCTAGTTTTTACCAGACAAGCTCTCTTGCCTGACATTGCCCATGGGGAGCAGTATCCTTATACCCAGTGAGGAACACTTTGTTTGTGTGAACCTGAGTGGGAGCCTCAGTGTGCAAAAGAGATTGGTCTTGAAAATGCCAAGGTACAGCTCTTATTAGGCCCTCAGTGGCACTTGGAGCTAAAACCACTCCCGGTATTATTTTTTTCATCCCCACTTTCATCTCATTTTCAAGGAAAATTATTAACAATGTGACTTTTTTCATCAAAAGTTTTCCCTCAGGCTAGAAATTCATTTGCTGCCCTCTTGAAATTCTTGTTTGTTAGACACCAGGGGAGGAATGTAATATCTGAGCCTGGGATACTGAAGTAGCGCATGTACAATATTCCAACAAGCAATTGGAAAGTGAATCCATTGTATTTGCATCTCATAGCAGCTGATATTAATGTGCAAAGTTAAAATAAATCCAGGCAAGTTCATGGATTTATGATCAATACTTATGCAAGTTGTTTTCTTAGTTATCTGAAAGGCTAATGATGATTAGTTCTGTCTGGAAATATGCTGGCCTGCAATAAGTAACCTCCTTGCATAACGGAATTATATCTTTAAGCAGTGAAGGGCTTAAAAAGTAAACAAAATTTTTCCTTCCAGCTGTGTGTATGCTTATGAAAGCCTTAGAGACAGTCTGTGGTTTTTCTAAACAGCAATAAGGGCATTAAAAGCTAAGCCTGTTGGAACACTTCTGCAAACAGCCATTTGAAAGAGAAATGCCGTGAACAGAGCCAATCCAGAGCAGCAGTTTCAGCCTGGCATGGCCATTACCTGAGTTAAGTGCCAAGCAGTGCAGGCCCATGTCCCCCCATTTGTACAAGTGTTGAGAGGTTCCCTGGAGCCTGTGAGAGGGAATGGAAGGCCTCTGTGTTCCCTCTCCTTCACTCTTTCTTTTTTCTGGTTTCTAGATGTACAGTGTCTTGAGACAGCAAGGGTGCATGTGTATTCTGAGGCAGCAAATGAGGGGTTCACAAAATCTCTTAGGGCTCTTTATTTTCTGGTCTCTGTGCACTTTGTGCCTGAAACTAGAATAACACTGAAGGAAACATCTGCAACTTGTCAGAGCAGGGAGACAGGTAGCTCCCATGGCAGTGTGGCACCCATAAAACATAAAACGGATGCTCAGGCAGCCCAGGTTACAATACGTCTTAGACAAGCATTTTCCCATCCAATGGAGTGGGATGCTGTTTTCCTGGCTACAGTGGGTGTCCAGGTTGACTCAGCAGCTCTTACGAAGGGGCTTGCTGCAGTTTAGTCCAGCCAACTCTCTGGTTAGAGAAGACCAAAGAGCAGAGACACACAACACTCTGGGGCAGTGCAGGAGGCAGAGCTGAGCCCCACAGCAAGGACAGGGACATCTCCTCTGTGAAAGGCAGAAGAGGCTGCTGAGAGGGTGCATAAGAAATGCTGCCAGCAGGTAAAGCCACCCACGCTTTGAGGCTGGTGAGCCAGGGTGTTACACTCCTGCAAAGCTAATCAGTAGCAATCAGGGTTGGCCCCAGGCAGGGGAAGGCAAGGGGTTATGCTGGGCCTCTGGCACCTGGTGAATGTCGGAAGCCTGCTGAGAAATGGTCACAGATTAAAATGGCTGTAAGTCTGGAGCTCACAGGTTTGCTACTCAAGAGGATTGTTTCCTAGAGCAGAGACTGCTCGAAAGGGAAGAGCTGGCACTCTGAGCAACGTTGGGGATGTTGCTATGGCCACCAGGAAAGTGGAGAGGGGGTGCATACAGGAGCGCAGAATGGTGGTGACATGGCAGCTGCAAAGAAAACCTGTATTAATCATTTTGGGGATAGTTCCTGCTAATCAGCAGCACGGAGCAGCCCAGCCTCCAGCTGAGGCCATTCTGAAACCTCTGAAAGAAGTTTACCTGTTGTTTTGCTGCATATGACACAGCACCTGTGCAGAAGTGTAAAGAATGTGTGTGTGTGTGTCTGTGTGTGTAGCTTATGTCTGTGTCTGCTATTGAATCGGTGAAGGGGTATTTAGTTAATAACAGAAGAAATGCAAAATTTTTTGCCTCCTTCAGTCCTCTGTAGCCAAGCTGGTATGATTCTCTGCTATGGTGCACTGGACTTGCATGTAACTGGAAAAATGTTTTCCATTCCCATGTATTATTCACTGTAAGATTTGAATATTTTATCTAAGGCAGGTTCTTGTTACTCACACTCACTTTTCCTTTCGCTTTCCTCCCCCACAGCCTTGAGAACAACTAAGGTGAAAACACGCAGTCAGTATCCAACTCATCTCCTGCAAGCAAGAAGAGTGAGAGATGCTGATGAAAGCTGGCTGTAATTGGAAAAAAACTGTTGCATGAAGAAGGCAGAGAGAGACATGTAAAAAGCCTTTGTGTTTGCTTCAGTGCTTAGAAATACGTGGATAATTTATTCCTGGGATGAGAGCTGCTACTGTTGAAGAAAGGCATGAAGGCAGAGAAAACATGTTGGAGGTTTTCTTGCATTAAGTATTTTTTAATTTCAATATCTGCTGCATGTAGCATCTTGGCGCTTAACAGGGGACATATTCTCAATTTTAAGAAGAGTGGCTGAAAGATGACATGTTTCTGTATAGCTCAGCTTACAGCTAGTCATACCTGCTGGCTTTAAAGACCACTGCAGTTCCTGTAGTGCTTGGGAGGGAACTCTGTCACTGGAATAGGAACTGGACACACCACTTGATCCTCTGTAATAATGAGAATTTCTAAGTGGTAAATGCCTCTTGTTGTGTCAAATTGCCCTGCCACTTCTAATTGCAAAACTTTCCTTGGAGCAATAGGTAAGCAAAGGGGATTCTCAGACAGCTTAGGCAGCAGGTTTTACATCTGTTTTGCAGTCTCTGACACTATGTGATGACTTAATTTATGCAAGTGGAAGGCTAGAACAAGAAAATAACCCCTGGAAGGCCTGCAAATGGCCAGAAAGGTGGTCATGGGCTCATCTCAAAGCTCTGCTTGACTGGAAGTTGTGTCCTCAGGAAAGGAAGGGATCCTAGAGGCTGCCTAATCTTATATGTGGTGTGAGCCTTCCTAACAGCCTGCCAGCTCCCAGCACTGTGGAAGTAAAATGGCTTCACAAAATTGGAGGGGTTTGTTGTGGGTCTTGAGCCAGACCATTTATGTTTTTGTTAGTCAGGATATTCAGAACTGAAATGTTCTGCTTTGAGAACTTGAGCTTTGTTCGCTTACTGAGGATGAAGCTATTTCAGCATCCAAAGAGCAATCACCAGCATTTCTGCAGTATCCAGGACAGATTCTCCTCCATTAGCATTAGCAGAGGTCACTGGTGGATTTGCTGACTTGACACAAATGGAGAAAACCCACTCCTTGCTTTTTTGTTCCATGTAAAAACAGTGAGCATTTTAAACTGCATAATTTTTCTGGCTATATTGTGCCAGCTGGACAAATATGCTCTCTGTCCACTCCCCTCCTCCTTGACACCTTGCTGGGGAGAAAGATTTGCTCTGTTTATTTCTGTGAATAAATTGGAGACATGTGTCTTCTCTGCTCATTGGTTTTTATCATCTCCTTGACTTGTGCTCTGGCAGCTGGTCTTCTGGAGTATGCACAATCTTTAATTACAGCAATTATCAAGTGTTTAGATGGTGAGGTCAGCTTACTGCTGAAGAGCCTAGCTGGTCTTTGGGTTTTCCTTTATTGATGGAGCACCAGCCACTCTGGTAGCAGAGGTGGCTGCTTGCAGGAAAAAACTCATCAGTAACTTCTGGGAGTTTGCATTGCTCACTTCCATGCAGTACGTCCTCTGGTCCCACTGCTTCTCCCAGGCACTACTGGTTTCTTCTTTTCTGACCTTTTATGTCTCCCTTCTCCCAGCAGACCCAAAAGCAGTTCAGCACATATGCTGATGCTCAGTGCTCTTCTTAAAATTCACAACACTTAGTCAAGTAGCTGCACACGGAATGAAACACAGAGCCCTGGTGTAGCTCCTCAACGCTGGGGGATATGATTGTGGGACTTTTTTCTTGTTATGAACTCTTTCACTCCCAAGCTGCCTTCAAATTGCAGCTATATGGGTGGTTGCAAGCTTCGCTATACAAACAGTCTTGGGCTTTTTAATGGGAAATGATTGTGATGAAAAGCTGAATGTTGCAATGGCCTTCCGGAGAAGCACAAATAACCTTTTCAAGGAAGAGGAAAGGTAACATATGACAGAATTACAAAGATGGCATGTTGTCCTTCTGGACTGCAGGCCCAGATAAATGCACGGGTCCATGTAAGTGTTCCTTTTCTTCCTGACACTGAGCCAAACTGTAGAAAACTTCTGGTTTACCTTTCTATTGAAGCAGACTGGAGTATCAGCTGCTCAAAGCCCATCTTCTTTTATTTATATCCATTTACAAGCTTTAGTGCAAAGGTCATCTCAAACAGCATACAAAGAAACCTTTTCTCAAAGAAAATTCATTCTTATGAGCCCAGAGTTGTGGTTTTGAAGGTTTTCTCTCTAAATGCAGAAAATAAACCTCAGAGCAAGCTCCCAGCTTCAAGCCATGATTTCTCTCAAAATGAGTCTTTTATTAAAAAAAAAGAAAATAAAAAAAAAAGATAAAAATATCCCAATCCTTAACAGTACATTATTTTTTTGAAGATTAAAAACTTGCTCAGAAGAAATAGACAACCTAACAGGGCCACCTAGTGATACCACCAGTGACAAGGCACAGCAAGGACCACGGCAGATCCCAGCCTAATTGCAAATCTGCTCCACGCAGCAGAAGAGGAACCAAGAAAGACAAGCTGGTGCCTGTGTTCCCAGGCACTCTGGGATCCCCATCAGAAACTGGTCTCATAGGTCTCTTTACAGCACCTAGCTCAACTGGAGCACCTGGATGGACTAATGCTATTTCTAGGGAGAGGAAATCAATCATGTGAAAGTCTGCAATAGATTCTGCCTCCTAAAGCTCAGGTTAATACCTTGTCTGCAAAGGTATTAACCACATTGTTTTGAGGCAAAATTGTGACTAAACCTAGGTGCTTTTAAGCTTTTTTCCTTTTTTTTTTTTTAAGGCCATCTGACCAACCATATAATCATTTTATTGCTTTTTGCTGCCTGATTTCTCCATGCTTTAAGGGCAGTTTAGGTATCATACTTCAGGCTGCACCTTTGCATAAAAAGCCTGACATTTAGCTATGCTTCAAGGAAAGCCATTTATTTCTCCTATCAATTCCCCTACAGCCAGATTCACCTCACCCCCTGACTCATAAAACAGTAAGCATTATAGGGTTCATGCCTGAGAAAGCAAGCAAAAGCCTTGAGACATCAGAGTTAAAACACTGAGCAGATTCACTGGTTTCTTGTGGAACTCGCACAGGGGCTGTTTAGCCAGCCACTGTAGTCACCTTTTGCAGGAATACTGGTGGGTAAAACCATCTTGCCTGCTCACCCTATGAGCATTTGTGGGGTGGCAGTTATGTTATAACCCCTTTCAGTGATTTAGATGGGGACAGACCATGAGGTCTTAACCTGTGCAGAAGATGGCAAATTGACATAACAGAGCTTTAGTATATCTATTTTCTGCTAGGAAAAAGCTGGGCCAGGTCAGCCGAGGCAATCTGTTTTGGCAGCCCACTGTTTTCTGGGACTGTGGGAATGTGTGCATGTTTTCCAAGGAGCAAATTTGGTTTCAGTGATCATCTGATGAAGCCCACGCTTCATGTGCAAGCTGCCTTCATCAAGCACGATCAAGGAGCTTGCACTGAGACCTGGCAGGGCTGTGCCAGGGGTCCCTGTTGCTCTGACAGGTCATGGGGCTTTCTCGGGCAACGGGGTGAAGCCCTGCTGGCAGTATGTCACATCATTAGTACAGGAGGTTGATGAAAATTCATTTAACTTTCCTTGAGCTCCCTGTTACATTCATTTTTCTATGACTGTCATCTCAAGTAATACCATGGGTCTGTGTGTGTCACATTTGCATATAAGTTGTACAGATTTTAAATACAAAGATACATGTGTCCTGGGCTTTATTTGAGCATACTTCTAATTATGAGGAAAATGAAATTAAACAGTCTTTGGAGTCTCTTGCTCCACAAGAAGGCAGAATCTCAAAAAAATTAGCAGTTTCACTTCACGCTCTCTTTGCTGGGTTACACTAATATTTGCAGAGGTATATTATGTTTGATCAAACATTTTGCATTACTTAGAACAAAATCTCCACTAGTATGTCTTTAAAGAGAATGTTTGATTTTTTTAAAATCTAAGTTTTGCTCCTAGAAAGACCTGAAAATATCCCTTTGGTTTCGCAATGCCATGAGAAATTCACGGTCACCATCTGTTTTGTAGAACAATGGAGTGGCAGAGATGGATGCTGACTGATTTGCCCAAAACCAGTTCAACAGCAATGTCAGGCAAATGAGCAGGATCCTGACTCTGTGGCCTGCTCTAGAAGCTTGAGCAAGGCTCTGGATCATTATTAATATGCATGAGCTCCATCAAGTCCCTAAAGAATAACATTTCGTATGATCTTCTGGAAAATTATTTATCTGGCCAGCTGTTGTCTGGCATGTGCTGTACTAAGTACAGTGTACTTTTGTGTTCTCTCTCTTGTTTGTAGGAACTGCTGCACTGGACTCTGGGATCTCAAAGTTACCCAAACATGTCCAAGGTGCCCTGCGGAGGCATCAGATGCTGCACAGCGGAAAAGCAAGCAGCAGTCACAGCTTCTCCTATTAAGAGTTTTACTGCGGCACCCAATATATAATATTCACAATGTTCTAAATACCAGTATAATAACCCAGATATGTGATCTCAGATCAACCTCCAAAGTTTTATATCAGAACAACTTAAGCTAATTACTTTTTCCTCAATTCATTCTGCTTTACTTCTTTTAGGTAGGCAGAATTGGAAGAGCTGGATTTGATATTTAGTTAACTAAATTCCTCATAGCCTGATGAGCAGTAATGTAAATGAGGCGCATAGATTGTAAGCATCCCTGCTGAAAGGAAGATGGAAATGTGACGTGTCACAACTGTGAGAGGTAGGGAATCACCACAATTCCGAGGTCCTGCGTGTCGCTTGGGACCATACAGCATTCAAACAGTGGTTAAGACCTATAAATTCCAAAGCAGACAAATTAGCCATGAAATACTTCTCTTTCAGGGGTTTTATTCACAAACATCCCTGCTGCTTTTTCAGTGGTTATAGGAGATATTGTTCCTGGACAGCTGTTATTTACATGGCAAGACAAAACCAAACCATTTGTGCTCAGGGATGTTCTGCAATGATGCAACTGCCACAGTCAAACTCTGGCTGCACTGGAAGAGACTGCACTGCATCATGGGCTGTGGGCAGAGGACAGTGGAGCATGAATCCCTCTGAGACATCTTGGCGTTGTATCATAAATGAGCTATACTGGACTTGGGCTTGAACACTTGGGTTTAAATTTATTCACTCAAATGCAACATCTTCTTTTCTCTTTCAGCAGGCTGCCCAGTTTCTCCCACAGCAGTGCATCAGCATGCCAATGAACGCAGCCTTGCAATAAGGTGCCATGCTGTGAATACTGGTGGAAGGGGTGAGGGATGTGCCCTGCTCTGCTGCAGGTGTGCTTGCTAACCCATAGTAAAGGAGTGAGGCCAGTGGGCAGCGATGCCTGAAACCTGGACAGACAGCCTTCTGGGCAGGGCACCTGGCTGGGTGTAAGGGGCAGGCAGCTGGGCAGGAATGGAAAGATGTGACTCCTGTTGGCTGAGGCGGAGTTTCCCCAGAGTTTTTGTCCATTCAGTCACCTTGTGTTTGTTCTCTCACTGGCAGCCAGAAAGATCAAGCCTTGGATATATATACACACAAAGGCTCTCCTGCAATTATGCCTATTCCCCAAGCAAAGGTTCAGGGGTTTGCCTGCCACAGTCAGAAACTATTAGAGAGACACAGATGCTCTCCAAGTTTTTTGCTAATGGAGGGTGGTTTGTGCTTTTATGTTGCCTTCTGAAAGAAGCTTGATTTAACACCTAAGGAGTTACAAGAGTGCCATGCTGATGTCTTTCTGTTCCTTGGAGCTGTGACACCTTGAAAATAGTCTCCTTCTCATAGTCAAATTGGCAGCTTTCATGCAAAGCCCTACATGCCATTTAATAAAAGTCTGAATGACCTTCATTAGGCCAAGAGATTTTTCTGTGGCAATGATGCCAGAGAAATTGCAGGCTCTTCTTTGCCTTTATAACACAGTATAGTTGTGATGAAGGAAAGGATGTGCTGTAGACCACCCAGCACGCTGTAGGACTCTGGGCTTACAGGCAGGCCACACCAGCAAAACCAGTATCATTTTATTCACAGTCCTTCTGATCTGCTGCCCTGGGTACAATATAGCTGGCTTTGTCATACAGCTATTGCAGAGTTACATCTGCTCCTACATTTCCTGTGACACACAGGAGATGTATTGCAGAGAGGGCACTTAGAGGAGCAGCCCACAAATGAGGAACAGGGGAAGCAGGAGGTCAGTAGCTTCTACTGCTACTAGAAGCTTCTGACCCAGCCCTAGCAGGACAGAGTGATTAGTTTGCCCCAAGTAAACTGGGACATGACTTGTCACAGGGCAATGCTAACTTAGAATACATGGCTGGGTTTATAAGCAAAGAGATTCAAAGAAAATAAGCCTTTGGAAGCATCTTGTCCAACCCATTCTGAATTTTTGTGTGTATGTGAGTATTGTTGGTTTCCCCTGGAGAGCCTTTTCTCTGCAGATTGGTGTATCTGAAAAAGGAAAAACCTCTAACCCTAAACAGAGTTAGCTTTCATATTCAAGAGCTAAAATCTGCCCCCAGTCATATCTGTGAGGCATTTTTATATTACTGAGGCCTCCCTGGCACAGTGTATCAGAGTGTAAAATGTGCAGTCAGTGACAATGCACAGCTTAGATCAATGATACTTCTCGTGCTGTTTGCAGGTGACGCTGTTGCCACACCTCATCATCCTTGTGTACCTGCAGGCATACCTGGCAGTGCTAATCAAACCCGGGATTGCTGGAGAGCAGAGAGGCTGCATAGAGGCCAGGGTTGGGCATCCGGTTAAATAGCTGGGAGGGCAAGACTTGCAGGCAGTGTTTAATTAGGTGACCATGTCTCTCAGGTCTCACATACTCAACACATGGTTTCTCCTTTGGTCTCCTACTGAGGTGCTCAAACCTTCTGGATGCTACTGCACTTTGTTCACATTAGGAGATGAGATGTCATAGAATCACAGAATCATAGAGTCATAGAATCATAGAATCATAGAATCAGTTGGGTTGGAAGGGACCTCTGAGATCATCAAGTCCAACCCTTGATCCACTTCTGCTGTGCTTGCTAGACCATGGCACTAAGTGCCGCATCCAGTCTAATCTTAAAAACCCCCAGGGACGGAGAATCCACCACCTCCCTGGGCAGTCCATTCCAATGATTACCCTCTCATGTGTGCTGTCAGGACAGCCTGGTGCTGCCAGCCCTCTCCCATGCCTGCCTGGGGGCTCCCTGGCACCAGACAGGGATGCTCCATCTGTCCAGCAGCACAGCAGAACACAGCACAACACAACACCTGTGCCATGACCAAGCGCAACCCTGTTGAAGGAGTCCTGGATGCTGACCCACGAGTTAGGGAAGGCTTTTTTCAAACAGTATGTAAAAAGGGGCAGAGCTGTATTTCCAGAGGAAGGAAACAATGGAAAGAGAGCAATAATTCAGTGGTTTGACCTTGTGCGGACTGCGAGCAGCTCCAACTCCCAGTGTTCATAATTGAAAGATGAAAAACTTTTCTTTCACAGGTCACAGAGTGCAAAGAAAAGAGCTTCCCAGCCAGCCTCAAGCAGGTGGGAAGGTGTTCATGCCTTGGCTGCCGTTCCCCTTCTCTCACATCCAGCAGGTAGCCCCATCTGGAATCCAGTCAGAGGGAAAGGGCTTGAAAGCACTGGGTGTGTTTGTCTGGCAAAGAACAAGCTCCAACTGTCACTGCAAGTATTGTTCACCTGCAGTAATCACACCCTTTTACTTCCTCTTCTCACCACAAGGTCATCTCCAGGACATGTTTATATATATATAACTGAATTTTTGTTTTCTCCGGTAAAAATTAACAGGTTTTAGTATGCTCATTTGTACTTTTACCCTTTTCATTTGGAATTTACTTGAAAGGCTTTCACATGCTGCTTTCACAACACAGATATACAAAAGATAAAACAGAAGATAGGAAGAAGCAAATTTGTCTGAAAGGTCTGAAATCACCTTTGTGAAAGTGAACAACTAGATCGACAGGGTTGCCCACAGCAGTAAAAGATGTTGGATGGTTGCATTTGATGGAAAAATGTTTTCATGCAGCCGTTCAACAGAGTGAGTCCAATGTCAATAAAATCAGTCATTCAGCAAATAATTTCTATCACTATGTTTGGATGATGTGCATACACATATAAATGTGTGTGCGTTGACTGTGTGTATGCCTCACCACACCATTACTTAGTTTTCGTACTGTCTTAGGCTGCCTATTAGCTCTTTACTTCATTTTCTAATTAATCACCATCTGTAAATGTCATGAACACGTTATTCATCTTGTCCAGGTCACTCATGCAGATGTTAATTAGGACCCATACCGAAGAGGGTTTCTCCCTGTAAGCCTTTGTCATATTTCTGATGACCCAAGAACTATGAACTTCCCAAGCAAATGGGTGAACCTGCCCTATGGCCATTACCTTTGTGGGTGAGAGATGACAAAGCAAATTTTTCTCTAAAAGTACCTTTCCCATATCTCTTCTCTCAGCATCCTGGGCCCATTGAACCTTCCAGAGTCTGACAGAGCCTAGTGTCAGAAACTTTTGAGGCAGCATTGATCCTTTACATTTCTCTGAAATAGAGAGGACTACACCTCTGTGCTTTTCTGGGTGGGGGTGTAAAGTTTGCTGCAGCTACTCATAAAATTTGATTTCTTTAAAAATCTTCTGTTGTGTGCTGACAGCTACCTCCCCAAACAAGGCCATTCTTTTATATGGTCAATGCTTAAAGTCATCTAATAGCTCCTGGGGCAGACCTTTTAAAAAAGTGGTCTGAATCAGCACAAATTGTGGGACTCACATGCTTATCCTGTGGTACCTTCAAATTCTACCTCAGCTATATTGCTCAAAAAAACACCAAAACACCCAGAATTTGTATGATAAGCTAGATAATAGTTGAAAGCTTTTCTATCTTATTCTGTAACATTTTGTTTCCTTTTAGATTTTTTGTTTACTTTTTTTGCTACTGACAGATTGTCCAGAGATTGTCACTAAATTCCCTGTTAAAATACACTGATGTCTCTTTTGAATTGATGTACTCCGATCAGTACCTAGCACCATTTGGAAAGAGTTCAAACTGCATATATTTAATCTGACAATGTTTTGTCTGTTTTTCCACCTTTTTTTCCATTTTCCCTGGAATATACCCAAAACAGCTCAGTGTCATCAGCAAATCTTGGAAATGGAACTCAGACAATGGAGAACTGTTTATGGACATTGGTGTATTCCAGCTGCTCTTTTTTTTTTAAGAATTCATGTAATAGTTAATTGAGCACAATCTATCTTCGTTTTTAAGCCAGTATTTAGGTGTTAAGGACAAACTATGAAGGCCCCATACAATTATGTAATCTTCTGTATCAACAAACCCTGGTCCCACCCAAAAGACTCGAATATTTTGAAAGTGGAGGCCATCTTCTGTACTGATGAACAGGCTGCTGGGACTACCTTGTTCCTGGGGCCTGGTCTTCCTGTTGCGCAAAACCCTTGAACATTTCAAAACCAGTTTAAGAAATATATCTGTTATTTTTCTAATTGTCTCAGTTTAAAGAGACTGGAATGGTTGCTAAGGAGGATGAGTCATGAGATAGACCAAACTCCTCTCTCTCAGCAATTGTAAATCCAACATTAAGAGGCTCCAATCGAGGAAGTATGGAAAAAAAGGAAGAAACAACCCTTTATTAAAATATATATGTATGTTGGCAAAGACAGTAACAGAACACAAAAAACAACTAGACAGTAGTCCTGTACCCAAAAGCCCCCTTCAAAAAAAAAAAAAAGACACAGTCTGAATACTTCTCTGTCCTCTAGCACGGTTCTGATCACGGTCGGCAGGGGGCGCTGTTGGGCTCTGGCGATCACTGCGTGAGGCCCCGGATCACGGGAGAAGCCGGAGTGGGGCCTTCTCCCACCAAGAGGGGGAAGGGAAGAACGGGAAAGAAGGGCAGTCCATTTCCCATGGAACTCACCGCCGTCCTCGGCTGGCGGTGCTCAAGGCTCCTCTTTATCCCCCAACGAGCACAAACTCTCCAATGAAATCGCAGCAGGTTCGAGCTGGAGGCAGGAGCAGCGTGCAGGCAAGCCGAGGCGAGTGGACAAAGTTGAGAGCAAGAAAAAACCGCCTCAAAGCTTTTCCAAATGCACACAGACTCGCCGTCTCCGTTCAAGCAGAGAAACCAAACTGTTCTTCTGTTTGTGAGGAGGGCAGCAAAAACTCCTCCTCCCTCCCTCCCTCCAGTCTTAGGTGGACCATTAGCCGGGAATGCAGTTTTTGCCAGCCAGCTCTTTTGTACAGTCAATTGCCCCTTCCCCCTCTCCCACAGCAGGGCAGGGGAAAGGAAAAAAATTCTTGCTTGAGTTTTTTGAACAAGCCAACCTATGACACTAAATTTTCTAATCTGTAAACCAGTGGCCTGGGACTTTGCCTAGAGCTGACTGAAATGCTCTGGACTGACCCCATAAGGAACACTCTGTAATCCTTTTCTTATGCAGGCATTAGTTTCCCTTGAGCTATGATGATTTATGGATTCAGGAAGATAGTGTTTTCTCTGTGAACCAAAAGCTGTATATTTTTTTTCAGGAGTCAGAAGTTCCTTTGGGCCTTATCATATCCATCAGGGATGGTGTTTGTCACTAACAGCTTTACAAAGGTGTTACTTCTCATCGTCTGCAATGTGTCGCACTGCTGTCACACACCTAACCTCTTCCCGTGATTACATGGTTCATGAACACCTCTTCAGAAGGCTGGATTTCCCAAATACACACACACAAAGTGTGGGTGGTGCAGCCAGTTAAGCTGGTGTTTATGCACAGGTAAGTCTCTGTTTGTTCCCAACCAGGTACAAGGCTGGATGAAATGCTACAAGAGTAGGAGCTTCCTTTCATACTCAGTTTTCAGAAATAAGCTAGACCACAGCTGCTTTTGCCACTTGGCCCTAAGCAGATCTCCCCTGAGGCAGGAAAAGAGCAGTGGTGTCCTCAGAAGAGGCGATGGTGAGGGAGGCCCGTTGTTTTTATTGCCCTGCAGTCCCAGCATCATGTGTTGCTTGTTGAACATCCCCATCGTAAAGAAGAAATATCCCCTCTCTGCACATTTTGGTGATTGGCAAAAAAAATAAAAAATAAAAAAAGCAGCCCAGAGCTGTGTGAAAATGCCAAGTAAATAAATGAAGACCTCTTGCCACAAGCAAAACATTCATGACTCAGGGAGTTTAATTTAATTTAATTAATTTCCAAATAACATAACCTTTTAATAACTGGTGTGGTTATTGAGAGGAAAAATAAGGGGCTGATTGATAAAACAAACACTGAGGGAGATGCCTTTCTTCTCCTTTCCCCATGCTGAGCTTCAGTCCAACACTTCTCCTCCACCTTTTCTGATATCCACTTCCCACTTATTTTCACTGCATGTTGCACTTGGTCCCTCCCCATCCCTTTGGGTGAGGTGACATGCGACACAGGAGGTTGGGCTGTGCACAGCAGGTTTTCCTCTGCTGATCCATGCCACCCACTGCTCCTCATCTTGGTGTGGGTTCTTTGTGGGCTGCAATCCCTCTAGGGTATCCCTCAGCAAAGAGGTCCACCTTCCAGCTGTGTCTCTCCAGCCCTGTCCCCTGCTGCTTGCCTCCCATATGTAATCTCTCCAAATTTTGGAAGTCATAGCGGTGAAGCATTATTGTCCCTGTACTGTCCAAATTTATTCTCTTCCTGACATATCAAGCTTTTTCTTCAAATGAAGTTATTTCTCTTTCCCTTGAGCCACCGCAGGCTGCCTACACCAGCCCATTTGTTTTTCTTTTAGTGTTTCTTTTTCCATGTGGAAGCGCTAGTAAGACCTAAGTTCTCACTGGCAATTCCTGACTGAACAGTTCATATCTTGACACACATCAAAACCTCTCTTTTTCAAGTATTCAAGACCATGCATTTTAGGGGCGTGACTCTTAGATATCCTCTCTGAAGTTTACGTTGGAAATTTGTGGAGTGTGTGCTCAATTGAAGGAGCACTTTTCTGTAGTTGAAATGAAAAGGTGTGAGTGCTCTCTGGTAAGTAGAAACTGCTCAGCACATAGAGCAACACACTTGAGCCACTGTGATGCAAAAATAGCTCCTTTCTTCTGTTCCTCTTGAGGGATTCAAGACACAGGAGTTTGTTTATATAGATTAATTAGTAACTGTGCAGCTTACTAGTGTTTTCAAACTGAGAATTAGCTATGAATGTCCAAACAAAAGTGACAAAGGATTGTAGCAGAAGTATCTGAAAAATAGTCATGTAATACAAAGAATGATTTTTTTGGTTATAGGTTCACTGACAGAACTGTGTTTCCTATCTACATGTAGAAATGGCTAAAGAGCAATTTTCTTGGCCATTTAATAATGCAGGGAAATATGGCAACATGTCTATCTATTCAGATCAAAGTTCCTCATCTCTGTCATTGTGCTTGGATACAGGTACAAAAATGGTCCTCTTTGATTGACTGAGAAGTCTTTGCAAACAAAAAGTGCTCCAGTCTAAGACCTTCAATCCAGTGATCCAGAAAAATACTTTTTTATTTCTTCAGATATTGTGGCTTTGAGAAGAGAACTTCAGTTTTATCTCCATGTTCCCATATCCGTTTCAGTGCAGGTAGGTTGGTCCTGTACAAATTATTGTTACAAAGCAGTTTGATATAAAGCAAATACTCTTCCCAACTGAAGTAAAATGTACATGCTAAAAGGATATACATGTTGCCCTGAACTAATTGCCATCCTTATGATGGTTCTGCTGTGACATGGAGGAGTGAGGAGGTTGACACAGGCTATCACTTTTACAGATGGGCCCTTCAGAAATTGCTCTCACATATTGGACAGCACAGCAAGCAAGGTCATCTTCCCTGCAGCATGTATCCAAAATCCCTCTCTGAAAGCACATTGTTGCTCACAGTTGGCCTGGTGGAAATGATCTGTGTCCACTTCCAATGCAGTTAGCTATCCACAAAGGGGTAAAAAGAGACAGAAAACAGTGGGCAGTCTGCCCATTCTGTGCTTTGCGTATGAAGTCCTGGGCACAGGGCCCTTATATTGCAGATGCCCTGAAAAACCCCAACAACTGCTGTCCAGATGTTACGGTGACCCTAGAATTGCTTGCCCCTCTGCCCCACCGTTATTCCACCCATAGAATACCCCATTCTCCTTAGGCTCTTCAACAGGACTGCTCACAGGCAGGTAATCCAGCCAGAGCTGGCTGTCTCCTCTGCTGGACTCCATCTCTAGTGCACACAGCCGCACCATCGTTTCAGCAAGTGCTCTACCCCTGAGTCTCTGAGTTTTTCACCTTCAGCTATGGAGAGCTGGGCATTATCTTATCTAATCTCAAGCTTGAGAAAATTACCTCTGTTGAAACATGGCTTTTATGTTAGATTGTTCTTTGATACTGCTTTGGGAAAGGCTGGGCCAGTTCTGTGTTGTTCTATGTTACTTCAGTGCAGTGCTGGTTGCTGTACCCTGATTTTTCTGGATGGGCCAGGAAAAGGTGGCAGGTCTTATAAAATCTAAATACTAAATCTTATTTGACTGCCCCTCATGAGGAGAAAATCCCAGGGAAAACTTCCATTATTTGGAGCAGAAGCCCAGCCAGTGTCATTTGTCTGTGAAGGCACACTCCTGAATCCTTTTTCAGCTAAAAAACAAGTATAAAATAAGTAAAAGAAAACAAGCAAACTAAACCAAACACAAAAAAAAACCTGCACAAAATAACCCATGAAAAAAAACCACCCAACACACAATAGAAAAAAAAACAGATTTTCTCAACTGTATATTAACATGTGAGCTGTTTACTTACATGCGTAAGAGCTAGGGACCTGACTGTGCTGCAGTCATTGAACTTCATCTTAGGGATGAAATGAAAGTTGTTTTCATGAAAAATTTCTTTGACCCATCTACAGGCAAAGTCACTCCTGCTCTTTTTATCTTGTCTTCACATCCTGCTGAGATAGCAATGCTGAAGCCAGAAGCTGTTGAAATGAAAGGTTTTGCTGCCTGTTTTGTCACAGTAAATGGGTTATGGAAAGGAAACATTTGAGGGTGGTGACTCCAAGAAGTCATCCCAGCATTAGTTTCTGTTGCAGGAGTGCCAGACATCTCTTAAAAACAGCTCTTGTAGCCCGTGGAGACGACATTCATGGAAGACAGATCCAACTTCAACTTCTATGTGCTTTTCTAGCAGTAAAAATACTTATTTTCTGGAAACTTTAGTTTAACTCTTTGGAATAAGTTTGCAGGGAGAAAATAACTAACAAACTTTTAATATACAACAAATTGAGCTGGATACAGCTATTTGTTGCTGGTTCCGCTCTTTCAGCTACACCAGCCATGGGAATAAATCAAATCTGTTTTGAAAGAGGAACACACTCCTAATCCTTAGATGTACAGAAAAGCTTTTAAAATTCAAAGTGTAGCTTGAGAATTATTGGAGAGCTCAGCTAGCAAAAATTAGCGCAGATCCGTGCAAGACGTCTCATTCCTTATACCCGAGGAATGCAAGTGATGCAACCTTCTTAGCATTAGAATTAACTAACACTGACAGCTGAAGCTAAAATAAAATTGTCACCTACCACTGGAATATCTAAGATCTTTAAACATGATGTGTGCTGACTTCTTAAAAGTCATCTCTATCTGTTGAGCATTTTAAAGAATGGAGTTTCTTCATAAAGAGGTGGGGGGACATATCTATTTTTCCTCCCCAGTAGCTGCACTGTGTCATCATTTGCATGTTAGACAGCTTTGCAGCTACTGCAAACTAATATTAACTCTCTTTATATTGGTGAAAATAATAAGATCATTCTGATTTATACCAGCAGGCTTTTATTTTGTCCATTTCTGACACGACTCAGTTTGTAGATGTGTGTAAGGACCTTAACTTTTAAGGATTTGCATGGCACAAGCCATGAAGGCACCCCAGTTATTGCTGCCAGAATGGAAGCTTTGCCTGGGCAGCGAGCTGTACTCTTACAAGCACCCCACTGCTGTATCCCAGCCTTTGCCACACAAACTCCATTGTGCATGAAATACAATAGCAGAATATTATTCCATGCTAATAACAGCAGCCAGCTGAAGTACTGTCTGCTGTGGGATGAGAGTGAGCTAAACCAGCTGCATAGTTAAGGATATGAAACCAGGGGGAAATTGGTACAGATTGGTGAAACTCCCTCCAAAACCACTGACGATGTGAAATATGGATTTCCTAAAATATGAAAGGAATTACTTGTTCTCCCATCATTAGTGGCTGAAGGCAAATACTCATGATATTGAATTAACAAAACTACTACCTTTATAATGCCATGGCTGAAGGCTCTTCAGGGAAGACACTGACTCATATGACTGCTCTTGCTCATCCTTTTCAGCCTGAGCAGGAGAAGGACGTGCACAGAGGTATGACACATGCTGCTTTGAATCTCAAGCAAGTGGGGGAGGTACCATTGTTTCAGATACTAACCTCAGTGTCAGGAACAAATTGATATGCTGGTCAATTCTAGGATTTTGAATGTGAATATTTGCATTAGTAAAATAGGCAACCTTATTTTGCATTAATTTTCAATTTCTCTTCTTATTTACCCCTTTTCTAAAAAATGAAAGGTCAAAAGTGGAGATGAGCAGGTAAATTGGAGGAGGAGAGGCATTGGAATTGATAGCTGAATCAAAAATTTGGAGGGGAAAATAATTGTCTTGCATCTTCTTTTTCTTTGGTTGGAGTTTTTTTTTGCTTTAAAGTGAAGGGGGGGAAAAAGCCCATCAATTTGAATTCAAAGAAGGCCTTTTGTATGAAACCTGCTCTGTGAAGTTTTGGGGTTATTGCACTACTTTGCGGATGCATTTTCACAATCTAAAAATGTTATGCACAGGTGAAAATACGAAAGGATCATTATTTTTTTTTTATTGAGAAAGCAAAACCAAACCGGTTTAGTTCCTTCAAATCCTTCCCCTAACCTCTTTGGTTTTGACAAAAGCTGTTATTTTGATTTGCTCTGGATTTCTGGGTTGTTTTAGTAGAGATTTGTGTTTCTGGTCAATTTTATTATATGTCCATATCAATGCAGCCGGTGTGTAGTAAGAAAGAAGACAAAAATAAGAATCTATTTTCATAACTCTCAGAAGAATTTTCTAAAAACTTGTCTTCCTGCTTTCTAGTTAATTGAAATTTCCTTCCCTTGACTCACTACTTTCAAGGGCAAAACCAAAGGACATCTTCTGGGCTCAGTTCCCATAGAGGAATGTGCATGTAGTTGCTGCCCACTACCTGGGAATATATTTTCTAAAGATCTCTCCTGGCTGTTTTAAATATATTTGTTATTTTCTTTATTTTGTTTAATCAACTGTTTTCTCACTGGTTTTATTTACACAGTGTAACATGCATACAAATTGCAGTATATAAACTATAACATGAAATTACCACATAGCCAAATTTCTGCTAATACATGCTTACTTTTTCTTCTCCACCCCCCAAAACATCCCAACATTAAAGCAAAATAAAAGAAAAATACAAGCCAAAACCCTCGAAAAAACCCAACAAAGACTTATTAACATTTTGGAAAATAAAAATAGGCCTAGTAACGCTCACTAGAAAACTGAAGCTATTCCTATTCTTTTCTAGCTGAAGGGGCAGACCTTGTCCTTTCCATGGTGGTATCTTACAGAAAGAAAAGTGAGTCCTCAGGCAACCAGATCAAATAGAGGACGTTGGTTAAAAACCTACTATTACTGCTTGGAAATGTGCTGAAATTGCAGTATCATGTCCTGTGATAAATTTACAAGCAGTTGTGCCATTGCTTCTCACTGTGTATCTACACAGACTCTTGAGGTGTGAAAATAGATAAATCCTGGGTAAAGAAATCAAAGTTTTTGCTGCCTGGTAGTACATGGCTTAGAAAAGGGTGAGGCATGCAATAGTGTCTCTGTGTGTGGGAAATACTTATCTGCAGCTATATTTTAAGTATTGACAGTCATGGATTTTTTTAAAAGAGCTTTTTCCTCAGGTCTTGTAAGGAAGGCCCAATAATGGAGGTACCTGCATGCTTTCCCAACTGATCTTGGACTTAGGCTTGTGCTCTGGACATACATCACAGAAATGTGAAGGATTATAAGGACAAGGAAAAGATCGGAACAGGATAATACAACCTAGGATGTGTTTCATAATGCCATGACATATTACAAACCCCTACAAGGTATAACCTTACTCACTGTGTAACACCTGCAGGACTCTGTTGTACCATGCCCTTCTTAGTAATTTGCTGACATTTGGCTACTGAAAACCAAATGCATATCTTTTTATGTTTTTGTACATCCATATTCTCTTAAATAAAACCTATTAACTTGAAAATGCTGGAGTTAGATTTTTATCTCTCCTTCATGCTTGATTCTGAAAAATGTTCCCTAGTCCTTTCAGGTCTACTATAATTCAGACGTCATCTTTAAATTAACATAAAATATTCAGAGAGAAGGATTTAGGTGAAAATACAATGGATATAACATCCTCCTCTGTTCACCACACATTTTCCATTGATGCCTCCCAATTATGAGAAATGCACTATTATGTACATTGCTTCCTGGGATTTTCAGTTTCTGTGTATCATTTTTGGGTTAAGTGCTCCTTTGGTAATCCACATCTAGCTGTATTTTTATCATGAACCCAATGTCAAGTAAATGCAAGCTCTCAGCTAATGAACACCTTGACCCCTGCTTTCAAGAGGAACTGAAAGAAGCACAAAACAAATAATACACTTCCTTTACTGTTTAATATATATTTAATATATAAACTGTGTCATACTCCACAAGGTTTTTCTTTGAACCTTCTCCTAAAACTAAATTTGTAATCAGAGCAGATGTCACAATTTTACTTCTGTGTACATCTCTCCATAGTGCGATGAGATGCTGTCTATTTACATATGAAAATTCAAGTCATCAATTGGCCCAGGTGGTTGTACTTATTTGACTTAAGCCAATGTGGGTGTGAAACCTTGGAATGAAAATATACACGTTGCTTGTACTGCTGCACAAATAACATCCCTGAAGAGAACTGAAAGGAAATGGTAAAGCTGAGCTAACCTAATATGCTCTGTTTAATAAGGGGCTCTGTGGCTTTGGAGCAATGACATCTCTGTATTGCAGGATCACTTTTATTCCCCACTAGATTCTTAACAGCCAGAACAACACGTGTGCCTGTGTGGCATTGCTATCAGCCTAGAAAATACTTTTTGGTCTGACCTGGTTCTGACCTGCCCTGCCAAACACCCAGAGACATGTTCCCAATTTGCTTCACCTGCTTTTAGCCAGTACACCCTAGGAGCCACCACATGGTGCTGGGGGGAGCCCAAACACACCTACAGGCTGCTGGGCAGCCAGTCCTTAGCTGTGCCAAGACCATGGGGGAACACCATCCTCTTGCCTGTCCCTCAGCACCTCCAGAGGCAGAAGCTCCACACACCTTTTGCTCCAAGCAAGCTCATACATTCACACTTTTCAGTGCTAAGGCTTTGCTTTTTGCTCCAAGTAGCGGCTTGCATTTTAAGTGGAGGGGTTGGGGATGGTGGTTTTTCTGGGGGGGAGGGGTTGTTTTTTGGGGGGCAGTGTGGTTGTTGTTGTTTTATTGTTGTCGTCCTATTATTTCTTAACAATTGTAGAAAAAATACCAGCAAATATTTTCTTGGTGTTTCACTTTTTATGACAATATTTACAATACTTTCTGTTGCAAATTTGTGTTGAGGAAGTTCTGCAAATGAATATTGCCTTCATGTAAATTTCTAACTTTTCCCTAGGAGAAAATAAAGTTTTTCAAGATATTTTGCAGTCTTTTTCTTAATGTTTTTCTCTCATGAAATCCAATATAACCAGCCTTTATTTTTTGGATTGCCACTTTGCTGCTGTCCTCTTTGGAGAGAAAAAAAAATTGAAATAGACTGAGGTAGGACAGAGGAGAAATAAAATAGAAAAATGTCTCCCAGGCATAAGTTACACTTTTTAAAATTGGTACATTTGGGAATCTCCAAAAAGGAAATATTAAAGTATGTGATTTCCCATATCTCTGCTTCTGACAGACTCTGATGGTGTGTTTTCAATAGCATTTTAAATTTAACCTATAGAGTATCAGAAAAAGATAATTATCATTCTGAGGTTTTAAATTGCTTCCCAGAAAGATACAGAGATGAATTCCAGGCAGATCATGTTTGTCTTTTTAGGGGTGAGTAGAGGACAGTGACTGGATTTTTCATTAGGTCTTGCCATTTTCAGCTGTTTTTGCCTTAAGATGTATTTCTAAAAACCTGAACTACAGCAGGGATGGTGGGAAGATGTCCCTCTTCATTGTGCTATGCGTTAAATGCAGATTTTGACCCTGGATCACTGTGATTTAGGAAATTTAGAGACTCGAGCCTGGGTACCTCCTTTAGGCTTTCCTTTAAGAGTTTTGTATCATGATGACAGGTTGGATGTCAGCTGTTTTGGACAGTACCTTATACTATGGGGATGAGTTTTAAAGTATTCCCAACTCCAAATGGATTTATTTAAGTCTGTGTATTAAATAACCGCAATAGGATTGTATTCACATAGATCTTATATGGACCTAGAGAAAGCAAGACGAGCAGCGTTCACTTCTGTATTGTATTTGTGTTTGTGTGTGTAAAATATGGGCTAGGAATACTGGCAATTCCCTGTGTTCACTCATAGATGGCACTAGAAATTCTTGTAATTACTTTCTTTGGAAAGTGAGTAAAATCATTTTTACTCTTCTACCAATAGGTGGAACTAGTAATGTCTTTGTTACTTATGATCTGACTCAAGGACCAATGCTTTCCTCTTCCTTGCTCCATTTAATAAAAAAGCAAAATGCAAGAAAACAATCCTCTATCATCCCAATTTTCCCATCAATGCCTCTCAAAGAGTAACCCTATCTCCTAAAACAATGAATAGTTTTGAATTTATTTCAATATACAGCCAGAGCAGGGTAGCAGAGGCAGAAGAAGAAATCAATGTCATTTAGAAGGCAGGTTGCTGGCATTCTTCCATTCCCAGACAAGCTGGAAAGCCAGATATTTTATTCTATCATTCATTTTTATAAATCTAGCTTTCCATTTGAAAGCAAACTTTGAAAGTGGTGCAGCACACTGACCATGCTGCCTGCCAGCTGCTCTCAGGTGTTCACTAGATCCTTATCAGTATTCTTGAGATAATGCTAAATGCATGAAAATTAGGGCAAACAGTCTAATTTCATCACATCTAAATTAGGTTATACTCATCTCTAATAGCTAAACTTAGATATTGGCCTCCTTAGTCTTCCAGCATTTTTACTTCCTATACAATGTAGATGTTGCTGATTTAATTGGAAATGATCAAGTATGCAGGGCTGATGGCCTCCTAGATTAATGTTACTGGAATGAAGCACTTCAGGAGCAGGTGAATGAGGCACTGTCCAAAATGAAAGGATGTACTGAGAGCCCCTGAAAGGGTGAATACATCTCTTATTAACGTACAGCAAGGATGCCAGGATGAATGGGGCTGTGTGTGTATCTCTTCGCCTTTTGATGGGCTGAATGAATTAGGCAAGCTCAAAGGTTTATCAGTTCCCTTTCTTGGCTGAGTGAGATTTTCCTTTGACAGAATAAGGGAAGAGACCCAAAAGTCATCAGCTGTATTTTTCTCACCTCATATTCCATGGTTGCCTTTCAATGATGATATGTTTGTCTGTGTGTTCATGAGGAAAATAACCAAAAAGACCTTGAAATCTGAACATGTGGGAAAATAATTCCTATTTTTAAGAACTAGCTGAACAACTTAGAAAGCAGCACATTCTCAGACACTCTGCAGCACTGAAAATAACCTCCTTTCCAGATATGTTCCTACCATGTAGCTTAGTGGTGGTTAAACACTGAGCACAGGAGTCCCGTACACAGGACAATTTATAGATTGCCCACTGCTCTGTGCTACATAACCTCTTCTGCTTTTCAAGGGTTACAAATGGTAGCAACGACAAGGCATTATCACTGTGCAGGTATGACTTGTAGGGATCTCTCAAGTTACTCTCCATTTAGGAAATCATTGCAAACCCCCAACTTGCTCACTTTCATATGCCTTGGCAAGCTCTCCTGTAGGGCCATACCTCGGGGAAGTGCTTTCCAGCAATGGGAACATTTCACTCCATGTAGTTTCACTCCAATAGTACAGACAAATCTTCTCCAGGAGTTAATTTTCAGTAGGGTCCCCAGCATACGGATCTATGAGGAGAAGAAAGTGGGGGGAAAAAAGCAGTTTTCAATATAACTTTGTCATAAAAAAATGTTTCAGTTTTATTTTTAAATAATCATCCTCTCTTTCCTCAGAATGAGTCTTCTTTACAGCTTTTTTAAATGCTACATTCTCTGTATTACCTTGACTTTTAACACCATCCCTGTACCCGATGCCTGAAATATTCATTTGTACAATTGTATTGCCTATAGCAAAAAGAAGAAAATGAATGAAAATAAGAGTGAATAATATTGAGAAATAACTAGGATTTTGCTTGTTTTCAAGGTCAGTAAAGCTGGTAGGTCAAAATGTCAATATAGCTAACAAAAGGATGAGCTCTATGGTACTGAGGGCTACCGTTTCTTTATATTATGAAGTTCAAAGACCTAACATTAGTTTGTTTGGCTAAGTTGGTTTTTGTTTGTTTGTTTGCTTTATTTTTCTCTACTCTGGATTTCTCTGCAGAGCTGCTCCAGAACTTTATCTTTTTGATAGTTAGAAACCTTTAATTTCCATAATGTTCATTTACGGGTATTTTATTCTTAGCGTAACTATTTTTAGTTGGCTCTCTCCTCTTGGAGTCTGTTTACTTTTCAGTGTGGAGAACTGAGCTGCTGGTGTCCATTTGCACTCTGAGGATGAACATATACATAAAGTATTGTCTACCATATTACCTTAAAAACAGCTGTTATTTTCACACAGAGAGAGAAAAAAAGGAAAAGCTAGTTCAGAGGAGGAGTTACGTTTAGAGAAGGCACATCCTCAGGCAGCACAACTGTGTGTTCCAGCACAAGTTTGTTTTTTTGTTTTGCTGAACACCCTGATATTTGTGCTGCTCAGAGGACCAGTACTCCTAAGGCTGGTATATCAGTCTTGTACTATTTTCATCACAGTCATACTAGCAATGCAGTATGTTTCCTTACAAAGACCATCGGAATAGCAGTTTTCTAATGAAGAGATTGTATGAACAAAGGCTACCTCATCCCATGAAAAGAAGTTATATCAGCTTCAATACATTTCCTGTCCTACCTGTCTAGAAACCTGCAAATTTAGCTCCAAAAAATGAGAATATTTCTTAGACCAGCACATCCAGCTACCTAGTGGTTAGAAAATTCATCTAAGGGGAAAATACCCAGATTCAATTCTCTACTCTGCCCTGCTACAGTGTCCCACTTAAACACAAGTTATTAATTTATTTTCAGTCAGTGAACAGCTTCTTAGTGGTTCAAGTAGCATCCATTAGTCATGTTGGTTGTGCTCAGAAATTTCACCCAGAGCGTAAATAACTTTGCTGTTAAATGTTTCCATTTGGAGGAATCACCATGAATAACTATGTTGTCAAAACAACCTCTGCCGGCGCCTGATGAGCGACCAAGGATCTCTTACACAAAAGCATGCAGGAGTGTATGCAGTAGGGATATTAAATGTCAAGTGTTCATAAACATATTCTCTTGTAAATCATGGGGAAAGCTGATTGAATCTCTGAACTTACTGTGCATGAACTTACAGTGTATGGAGTGCCCTCAGTTTCCTCAAGGAAAAATGGGAGGCGCCTCCTGCTTCTCTGGTAGGGGGACACTAGCCTGTGACAACTTATTTATGCTCTTTGTAAATGCAGAAAAAGCTGTAGGACAGCAGCTGCAGAAAAGCTGTCTGAAGGTCAAGGAGTGTCTGCGGCCACACAGGCCTTCAGCCAGATCTGCATTCAGTCATGAGCCACAAATCCACCTGGAACCAGTAAGAGCTCTTCCTGGGCAATACCCAAGAGCAAGATCACGTCCCAGCTACTTAATATTACTGTCTCCGCACTATTATTTAGTTTTCCCATCGAAGCATCACAGTAAATAGCAACGCGAAAGAGAAAAAAATACTTCTGAATGAGGCAAGGGGAGAATGACTGGACTTGGTAGTTTTTACTTGTAAATTAAAACTGAATTCAAAAGCAAAATGATTCTAGGGCAGAGAGTGCTTGTATTGTTAGCTGTTGTGTGAAGTGGGTTTTGACATATATTCGTACTTACATGAAAATACAAGTTTCTTCATGCAATGTTTTAGAGACACACAGTTTAAAATCACAGGACTACTAGGTGTTGGTTTTTTTTTTTTATATTACTGCAAATGATATATAACTAAAAGACATTTAAGGGGAAAAAACTCACACTTCCACTTGTCCAGACTAAGTATTTAATTCTATTTTGTACAAAATTTCCAGTTTGCATCTCCCATCAGTAGAGGAGAAAAAGGTATTTTAAAGAATGGCAAAGCCCAGCTG